TTGCATGCTGCATAATAGAAATACAAGAAGAGTAGGGACTTCAGACCCTCTTATTCCTCTCCCCTATCCCCCATCCTGGAAGAGCTAGTCAGCTAGATGTAATCAAGTATTGAGCTGAGTTGGGGCAGAGTTATAGTTCTGGTAAAACCCAGTCCTCCTCTGGATTTTCCCTGTACCTTAGCAGTGGCCCTCTTGGATTTGGGGTTGAAAGCCTGGCCAGTCTGTCTCTCTCAGCCATTCAAGTTCAGCTCTTCAGTGATTTGGGGTTAGCGCTTTAGCCTCCTAATCCACACAGGTTCAACATCTGGCCGGTATCTCGAGGGGGAGACCAGTTATTTGTTTCAGGCCCCCTCCCTCTAGACACTGCAAGACTGTGGAACTTGCCATTCCTAGTCCAGCCCCTTCCCAGGTGCCCACTTGGCTCCAGAACTCATCAAATATTCCATGGGGAAAACTAGCATTGCATTTTGGGCTCCTCTTGTGCCTAATCCATAGCACAGTCCCTGCAAGCCCCAGAAGCGGTACATTTCTCTTTTCCCCAGAAGAGCGTCTCTCTTCGGGGCAATTTTGATCATCAGAGATGTCCCAAATCAGCAAGTGTCTCAGGGGAAAAAAACAGCCGCCCATCACCGTTTCACCTGGGAGGGGCCCTTTCCTCCTCGAAATCTTAGTTCATCTGGTTCTTATTTCTTCCACCGCTTTCCATTCTTTAAAAACAACGATTTTAATCTTATTTCTTTCCTCTTGATTGTGGCAATGGGAGTGGTGGCCTGCAGAGACCTACCACATCCTACCCAGAAGCAGAAGTTCTTCAGTTCTGCTTTTTACCACTCCCCATAGAGAGATGATTTGACTTCTTACTATTTTCATGTAGTCACATGCTAACTTGTTTTTATTGTTGTTGTCTAAAGAAGTTATAGGGCTTTTATCTGTTTAAAAACAGATGTCAACTATTTCCTAAACTTTCTTGAGGGATAGCCATTTTGCCTCAAACTCTTACGGCTTTGTTTTTTGATGCTACACATCTTTCCTGTTTCTGTTTTTCAGTTTGTTTATACTTCTTGACCTTCACTGCTGCTGCTAGAAAAGTTTCTGGTAATTTTATCGATTTCAGGGGGACTGCGGGGAGGAGGGGAGAGCTTCCTGCTCTGCTACCCACTGCTCAGTAAGCTTGTCTGAGAGATAAACTCCCTGAGAAGCAATTTCTTTCCCTTCAGCTACTCCGGTCTCCTTTGAGTGGAGCTCTAACTTTGCCTAACTCTCTCCTCTCTTCCTGAATCTCCTGTGACTATTGTACACATCTGTAGTGTCAGCTGCTCTCTAAGCTAATGACATTCAGGCCTGAAGTGCCAGCCTTTACTTCCATCTGGGCTTCCAGACCTGTATGTCACACTTAACATCCCCACAGACCCCTCAAAAACAAAATCTCGGGCCGGCCGAGTGGCGCGATGGTTAAGAACTAGCTTGGGACGCCAGAGAGCCCTGGTTCGGATCCCACATATGAGGGCCAGTGACACTGCCCTCCACAGCTGAGATGCTGAACAACAGCTCAACCTGGAGCTGGGCTGCCGTCAGTTGCCGGCGACGGCGTAGGCTGCAGCCCCTGTGGCAGTGGGTTGCCATGGGCTACCATGTGTAGCCAGCAGCCAGCATGAGCGGCCAGCAGCCGCAGTGAGCGGCCGTCCAGAAGCCGGCGACTGATCTGCCTCGCCCGGGAAGAGCACAGTGATGGTG